GGGGCCGGAGCCCCCGCGGTCCTGGCTCCGCCTGCCACAGCAGCTGCCTGGTTGCCCCAGTGCCCGTCCACTGTGGCCAGGATGTGATAGGCCAGGGTGTGGAAGTGGATCCGTGTGAGGTCAGAGGCCCTCTCTGCCATCTTCCCGTGCTCCTTCAGGATCCAGAAGAGGATGTCACTGACTACACCCACGTCGGGAACTCCGCTCCAGGAGACAAGGGAGGCGTGGGGGCCAGAGGCAGCCTGGGTGAGGAACAGCAGCTCCTGCTCGTTGAGCCCAATGGAGTTGACCAGGGGAAAGACCTGCTAACAGGAACACAGGGATGGCTATTTTCTTTCAGGGAGAGAACCGGGCTTTTGATTTCCTCATTTGGGTTTTGTTTTTATAGGCCTGTGTTACTGGCTGTGTCACCAGCGTGCCCAGCAGAAGGGAGCACCCAGCTTCCTGGAGAGATGCAGGCTGAAATCTCTGCACAGGCTTTCCCATTCTACAACTCTGCAGGAATTCCTTAGCCAAGAAAACAGTCCAGACCCAGGGTGCATGTTCATTCTGTGTAACTGATTTTCTAAACACACTCTTTGACAGCAAGGAGTAACAAAACATCAAAACCACACCAAATACTCTGAACACTGAGAGCTGTGTCAAGCTAAACAAAGAACCCTTGGGATCTGAAAAGAAATTGAGGGTCTGTTTGTTTTGGTTTTTTTGGTTCTTTTTGTTGTTTGTTGTGGTTTTTTTTAATTATAAACTCAGCTCAAATTCAAATCCTGCTTTTTCTAGCCATCTGCTAAATCTAAACCAGCCAACGTGACTTAGATCTGTGGAGGTCTGAGTGTTCTCCTGGGTCACCTGTGCCTGCAAAAACTCTTTGTATGGGAGAGGAGGGCCCAGGTGTGTTGCATGATATTTTTACTGAACACAGCTGCTCAATCAACTTAGATCTGCAAAAATCCTTACTGCTTGCTGAAAACAGTCTGATGAGCATTTGAAGATACCTCCTAAGCGAGACATCCCAGAGAGACCCCTTCTGAAAGCAATACCCTCTGTGAGCTAAAGAAACAAATCTGTCCTCTGCTAAGCACAAGTCATTACAGTTCTCCTCTCCTTCACTGCACAGAGGAGACTGGTAAGCTCAGTACAAACTATCAGGATGCAACACCAGACATTAAATCCATGTTCTCAATTTATCGTTAAATGGAGAGCCCTAATTGTGAGTTTCCATTTCTATATCCATCTACAAGCCTGAGCATTGTGATACTGAAGAAAAGGAACTGATAAAAAGAGCATGTCCTTTCATTTTCCTTACCTGATGAATAATATTGCTCATAAAATCCTGATCTGTCATGCTGGCCAACTCCAGGTGTATGGGAATGTCCGTGGGGATATCTGAGATGGAAGCCACAGCCTACAGAGGTACAGGAAAAGAAAAAACCCAACACCCTAAACTACGTATTTGTTAAGAAACAGCAAGAACAAAGGGGTCTTGACTTGGAGACAAACCCCCTTACACCTTGTGTGCAATCTCACAATCCCAGGGAGATACCTGACAAGTGCCAGAACCTACTGCTAAGGGGAAGAAATAAAAACACCTCATTTTTCAGAATCCCAGAGCATGAAGACTGCATCTTACCCCCACTGGCACCCAGCTCAGCACTTTTCTAATGGACCAATTCAGAAATCTCATCAATCTGAAGCTGCAGTAGCACAGCTGATCCTACAGAGGATTAACCCAACACCACAAGGCTGGTGCATGGCATCAGGGGGGCACTCAGTGTTAGGCAATGAGTTGCAAGTAAAAATAAACCTTGTGTAGCTCCTTTGGGCCCATCTGAGAAAGCTGCCTCCTGCATTATCTAACACAGCTGCTGCTTTAGAGATGGTAAGTGTTGATTATAACCTTGAGTATCTGGGATAGAATGAGGGGAATTGAGGCACTAGATGAGCTCAGTAGCTATGCCAACAGACTCCAGCCACACAAGCAGACCAAGCCATTTCCCTCTACATACCCCACTGATTATAAGAAACATCCTTGTTACAGGATTAGATTTTTGCCACTCCTACAGTTCACATGCTCCTTGTAGCCTGCAACACTGAAGAGATCTGTGGGAGAGCTGAAGACCCAGCCTTGTTACCAGTTCAAACCTGGGAAAACAAGGCATTTGTTGGAATGGACAATAAGGAGATGCTGGTGTTCAAGGATCTTACCTCCATAAGTCGTCTCTGCCGCATCTCCTTGCTCTGGCCTTCCATCATGTGAAGTCCTGAAAGCACCACAAGATCTGGCTGAAACTCATCCAAGCTGGACACAAACACCTCCAACATGTTTAAGGCGCCATTTGACAGGTCGTGGGAGAAGATGAAGCGGTTGGCATTGGGTGCTCTCACCTGTCCCCACTCTTCACCTAGGGAGAAACAGGGAGAAGCAAGTTAACTCCAAAGAGAAGCAAATCAAGCCACATCTCTGGAGATCATCACTCTGTAGTGAGGTGGGGGTTGGTCTCTTCTCCCAAGTAAGAAGCGATACAACAAGAGGAAACAGCTTCAGGTTGCACCTGGGCAGGTTTGGATTGGATCTTGGGAACAAATTCTTCACCAAAAGGGTTGTCAGGCCCTGGCCCAGGCTGCCCAGGGCAGTGGTGGAGTCATCCCTGGAGGGATTTAAAAGCCATGTAGATGTGGTGCTGAGGGACATGGGTTGGTGGTGGCCTTGGCAGGGCTGGGGTAACAGTTGAACTTGATGATTTTAAAGGTCTTTTCCAACCAAAATGATTCCATGATTCTATGATCATTTTGGGACATCCTGCTGGAATTTTAAGGTGTGGTTTCCCAATGAACAGGAACTGCCAGCTTCAAGAGAAGCCTTGCTCTTTTTCTCATTCACTCCCTCTTTACATTCACTTCCTCTGCCTCATTTAGATGCTTGTCTGGTCAGAAGTAAAATTCAGTACTTGTTGGATTGGGTTTGCAAGCTTTGTGATGCTTTAGTCAGTTGTATTAGTTTATCAAATGATTAGGTGATGTCACAGCCAGCTCAAGAGGAGTGTGCAGGATATGCAAAGAGAAGTGAGATCATCCCCTTCTCTACCTTAGAACCAGCCTTAGCACTTCTTCACTCAGCTCTCCCAGTCTGCATACAGGTTGCACTCTGGAGACTATGACCAGCATTTAGTGAAAAGCCACTAAAATAACAGCTGCCAGTGCTGCCTCCTCTCAAGATAAGTCTTATGGTGAGGTTCTGTCTAGGACCAAGATCCCCAGAGTTGCACCAAGAGGGCAGTTCTCAGCTGAGAACAGAGATGCTGAGGAGACATATACAAATGTGTAATTTTGCAAGTGTAACAAACAGCACTTGCCAGTTACAGAAGCCTTGTTTCAGCTAGAAGTGCAAGCTTTGGGTCCTGCTTCACCTTAGTTTTGCTGCTGCATAAGTCTAAGTGGTTTCTGCCTTCCATCCTTGCCAGATGCTTCTGTCACACCTATGTAACTGACGGTTAATACTGAGACACGATCTGTGAGACAATTCAGGAAGAGCAGCAAGAAAATTCTCACAGATTTGTTCTTGCCCTTACATTAGGGTTACCCTGAATTCCATCTGCATGTAGTTAAGTGGCACCTTTCTGTTTTCAGAGAAAATTACTTGCCTACTTTAGAGTTCATACAGCTTTAGAATGATACCCATCAGATCTGCTTACAGTACTGAGAGCTTACACAGTCCTTTTGGAATTAACTAATTAAAAAATCCAACTATTCTAGTGATGTTCAGGGTTCCCAACTGGCTCAGTACCTGCTTGATACTCCAAGATAAGATGGAATTCATCTCTCTCCTGCATGGATTCAGGTGGCACAACCACATTGTCATCAAGTAGTTCATGGAGTTTAGGACCAACTGGGCCACAAAGGAGGATCTAGAAAACAAGAAAAAACAATCAGAGATCCCCTGCCATGTCACTTGCCAGTGTGTCAGAGCATTTGAGTATCACCTAGACATTGATTTAAAAAAATCAGCTCTGCTTTTCAACTTGTAAGGCAAATTGTACATCCCACCACACCAGAAGAGATAACTGCAAGATCCCCAAAATCTACAGGGAAGTAATTTGAGCCTCGGTGACAAGCAAGCAGCATTTTTGGGACACATACCTTCAGGTCTGGATTTGTTGCAAGCTTCTGACCAATGAGAGCAGCATTTCCTCCCACATAGAGCTGTAACACAAACAGAGGCAGGTATGGGCATCCCCTTGCCTGGTTAGCTTTATTTCTGCTTGGTCCTCAGCAGAGACTGGAGATTTTAACTTTTTAGAACAAGGTCAATCATCACAGCAGTTTATAAAGCTCCCTGGGGCTGAAGGCAAAACAATCTTACAATTCTCTGTGAGATCTCAACCAGTTGAGTGTTCTCTGGCCTTTAAAAGATCAAAATATTGGCCTTCAGGTAACTCACAACCCCTGCAGCAATAAATCAACTCATAACAAAAACAGTCCCTACTTCTGTGCAACTCTTCTGTGGCAGTTGGTAACTGGTGTGATTTTTTAGCAAGGCTGACAAACAATCATTTAAAAACTGCAATAATACTTCCTCCAGTTTGAAATCAAGGTTAGACCTGTTACCTGTGCCCACACGAAGGGAGCAGAACCCTAGAAATGCCTTCAGGTAAGGAAGGTCAAACTTTCAAGTAAGGAAACTCTGATCTGAGCTTGGAAACCAAAGAATATAGATTGTCCTGAGGATCACAAGCACTCAGAGGTGACAGAAAATAGGCTTTTGAAGGTTACAGCTAATAATCAGGTGATTCCAGAAAGCAAACATAGCCAATGTGGTGAGAAACAAGTAAGCACAGGAAAGTCTTGATGAATAACAGACATTTAGAGCTCTTCCTCATCTCAAAAGCAGCCGGCAAACTGCAGGAAGGTGGCACTCAGCAGGCTGCCAACTGCCAAGCAAGGAATCAAGCTAGATTCAGAAGACACAGTAAAAATTAAGAGCAACAAAACTTTGCTTTTGGAAAGGGATGCCTCAAAAACCATATTTATTTCTTTTCATCATTCCTAGAGAAAATATAAATCCTGCGTTGAGTAGCTGAAGCTGACTGGAGTATTTACAACTCCTAATCCTTGGATCTATTTCCTAATTCCAAGATGCTGGAGCCTCTTTTACAGCATCAGCCCCACTTGGCTCCCATAGAAGAGTATTCTTACAGAGGCATCTTGGATTGACATTTCAGTTTTGGACAAACACAAGGGGCAGACCACTGAAAACCTGCCTGTCTGCAGCAGGTACAGAGCTCTGCAGAAAGTCATTAACACGCCCCAGATACAGCACCAGTTGCCTTCCCAGACAAAGTTCCCTTGCTAGACAAAGAGCAAAAGTCACCAATGATGCAGAAAATAAGAAACGTGCTTCTCAAAGCTTCCCTCCAGGTGGGAAGCAGATACCTGTGCCCCGGGGTGCTGGGAGGCCGCCCGTGCAATGTGGTGGAAGGACTCCGCGTCGCTGAAGAAGCGCTCGGCAGCCGCGCCCTTGCCCATGAAGTGCGCGAACGCTTCCTGCAGGTCCTGCCTGGAGGTCAAAACTGCATGATTCTGTCCATCTCCAGGTTCAAGCCCAAGTGCTTCTAACAGCTTCACACCGGACAGAACCACGTCCACACAGGCGTTGACACTGGAAGAAAAGGGAATGCACAGTGGGAAAACCGCAGGTACCTCAGGGCACTGGTGAGATGACACAACAAGAGCGCTTCCTAGCCAGAGACATTTGCTGCTCGCAGCCCTGGTGCTAAGGGGGAACACAACCAAACACATAAACAAACAACACAAAGGAATACGAATTTCCTGAAATTCTCCTTTTCTTGTGCCCCAGTGCCGTGGAGGAGAAGGATTTCAAACACTCTGTGCAAATAAAGCAAGAATGAGTGAGCTGAGCGGTCCAGAGGCGGCTGCATCGGCTGCAGAATGTTCTGCTCTCCCTTCTTGCTCTGAACCAAGCAGGCACAATAAGAACATTTAAAATTCTTAATTCTTAAAAGGAAGCTTTTAGAAAAAAATATATATTTTGGGTTTAAAACATTCATGCCATTCAGAATTATTATAAAAAAAAATGAAAGTATTCCAGTCTACTAGATCGGCCTCTGGAGTTTCAACTATTCCTAACAAGAATCAGAACCAACCACACAAACAGCCCCCTCACAGGCTGGTTCTGTTTAGAAGTAGTCAAGAAAGCAATTTGCCAGTTGAAGTACTTGAAAACTGCAGTTTCTAAAGGACCATCCCAAATTTCCAGCATGCCACCTTCTCTCTAACAGTGGCAACAGAAGAAAACCCCTCCCATAGTGAGGAAGTGCTCAGAGCCCTTTCAGCAGATCTAGGCTTTCTGTGAAGTCCAGCCTGCAGCTCCTGCCTTCCAGCCATTCTAGAAAACTTCTGCAGGGTCTCTACCTTCCTCTGTGCCACAGGACAATGCCAGTGCCTGCTTACACGTCCCATGAAGGGGACAGCCATGTAGTGTTCCCCCTTGGCACTGACCTTTCACGCATGCCTGGAGTCCCCACACGCCAAGGCTGCATCACAGAAAATAAAGGTCATGAAAACCCCCAAGGCAACCAGCTCAGAAATCCTCTGTGCTCCTCAGCTCAGGTGCTAAGGAGAGAAAAATCCTCTCGCATAGCAGAGAAAAGAAACCAAAGAAACAACCATCTCCAAGCAGCATTGTAGCCCCAAACTCACCGCTGCAAAAGGTCAGCAATTTGGTATTTTAATGAATCGTTAAAGGTGCAAGGGGACATAAACCAAGCCACAGTTCTTTCAAGTGGGACACCTCTAATCATCTCCCAACTGCCTGTCTTCTCCCTGCCTGCCATTCCTCTGCTAACACACTTTCTGCTTTTATTAAACTCCCTTAACAGCAGGGATGTGCTACTAATGAACTGTGAGTTTGGAGCATGTAAATATATTTGTATATATATATTTGTACATATATATTCAAATGCTTTCAAACAAAGAAGCAAGTGAGGAGCAAACCAAAGATACCTGGCTCTCTTCCAGTGCAGGTGTGGCAAAAGAGAGAACTAAATGAGACACTGGAAAACCTATTTTGTAATATTTTCAGAGGAGAAAGTCAGCATCAACCAGGATGCAAGAGCAAGACAGACTCCAGCTGACACTGTCTTGTCCTCATGGCCATTGAGGTTGAAAAACTTCCAACATTTGAAGGCCAAATCTTCTAGTCAAAGTCAAGTTATCCTGTCACGTCCTTATATTTAAAAGAAAGTGAGTCAAGTGCTATATATAACAGCAAGGTTAATGGTCAGGCGTAAAACAAGCATTTAAGATGCTCCTGACCTTCCCCCTGCCCTGTTTCCAGGTTAAAAGGAGAAAGGGTGTTGGATTTCCCTGTGCATGCACAGGTATCTTCCACCCCTCCTGCTGCCTGTCCTCTCATCTCTCTTCTTTACATCTCTGCCTTGACTTGGTTATTTCTCCCAGATCATGAAGGCTTTGCTCACTTTCCCCTTTTATAAACTCACTCCAGGTGCCTGTCTGTTGCCAGGCTCTGCTCCCCAGCTGCCACCTTCCTGGGGAACAGGCCAGCAGCCCCAAGTCCTTCAGGCTCCCACCCACGAACCTGTTCCACAGTCAGGCCAGCCAGGTCTGCAGACTCAGGTCGCCAGATGTGTCCGCACCACGCAGCACACTCGCCTCACCAACACACGCCTTTTGCGGACCATTAACCTTCCCTCTCCCGGGGAAATGCCCTTGCCTGGGAAACGACAGGCCCGGACAAAAGGAGCAGAGGCCTGAGGCGGCTCCGGGGAACGCCCTGGGGGCTGTGAGGGCCGCGCTGCCCTGGGGCTGCTGAGGGGACGGGCGGGGAGGCCCCTCAGCCCCTTGCGGCTCCACGGGGAGGCTGGGCCGCGGCCCGGGGGGGGGGCGG